TGTCTCTCTCCATTGTGTGTGTGTGAATGTGAGAAGAATGTGTATGAGACTGTTGTCTCCTCTCTCTAGGTGTGTGTGTGAGACCATGTTGTCTCCTCTCTCTCTCTCGTGTGAACGAGTGTTGTGAGACTGTTGGTCTCTCTCTCTCTCTCGTGATGATCGAAGACAGTCCCGACAAATCGTACGATGAGTGTGTGGTGAGAACCTGTTGTCTCTCTCTCTCTCTCGTGTGTGTGTCGTGAGCACTGTTCGTACATCTTTCTCTCTCTCGGACAAAGTGTTGATGTGTGTGTGTGAGACTGTGTTCTCTCTCTCCGTAAATGTGATGTGTGTGTGGTGTGTGATGTGTAGTGTTGTGTGTGCTGCTGACGAGACTGTTCTCTCCTCTTGTGCTGTGTGTGTGAGACCTTTGTCATCTCTCGCTGATCTTATCCTGCTGTATTGTGCTGAGACTTGTCTCTCCCCTCTCTCCGTCATGTGGGGTGAGCACTTGTCTCTCTCTCTCTCCCATGTGTAGCCTTGCGACCACTGTGTGTGAGACGGTATTTCTCTCCTCCTCTCTCGGTTGTTTCGACGAACGCTTTGTGGTGTGAGCACTGGTGTCTGCTCTTTCTCTCTCTCTGTCTCGCTGTGCTGTGGTGAGCAACTGTTGCGCTCTCTCTCCCTCTCTCTTGCGGCATGTGTGTGAGAGACTGGTTGTCTCTCTCCTCTCTCGTGTGGTTTAGACTGTTGTCTCTCTCGTCTCTCTCGTGGAAGTGCTGTGTGTGAGACTGTTTTCTCTCTCCTCTCTCTCGGAGTGAGTGGCTGAGACTGTTGTCCTAACTCTTCTCGTGTGTGTGTGTAGGAGACTTTGTTCTTCTCTTCTTTCGGTGAGCCGAAGAGACGTGCGCAGACTGATATCATATACTAACTCTCGTCTTACGGTAGTTGATTTCGTGCGTAGAGCGACTTTTGATACTCTCTTCATTGCGTGTATGTGCCCGTTTAGTTGAGTGTCGCATGCCTATTAATCTATCTGAGAACATGCGTTCTACATGACCTGAATTTGGTCGGATCTCGTCTCTTAGTGTGTGTGTGTTTGGAGACTTGATGGTCTCTCTCATCTTCTCTCGTGAAGTGGCTGTGATGAGAGCGGTTTGTCTCTCTCTCTACGTCTTCGTGTTGCTAGTGTCGTGTAGATGTCTCTCTCTCATCTCTCGTGCTGTTGTGTTTGAAGACGGTGTCTGCTGTGTCTCTCTTCTCGCATGAGTAAAGTGTGTGTGTGTTTATGTTGTGTGAGGACTTGTTCTCTCTTCTCTCGTGTGTGTGTGTGAATCTATGTGCTCTGCTTTCATCATGGCTGTGTGTGTGTGCTGAAGACGTGCTTATGGAAGTCGCAAGACTCTCTTGTGTGACGAAGTGGTGTGGATCGGACTTCCGGCAGAAGATTAGTGCTGCTGTGCTCGTGTTGTGGATGAGACTCCTGTCTCCAGGTCGGTATATTGTTTTTCGGTGTGTGCGTGTGTGTGGAAGCACATCGTTGTCTCTCCCTCGTGTTTTTTTTTTGTCCTAGTGTGTGTGTGAGAGACTGTTTGTCCTCTTCGTTTGTTTTTTTTTCTTTCTCTCTAGTGGAGTGTGTGTGTGTGTGGCTGTGTGTAGAGTGCGAGACAAAACTGATCTTGACAAAATAGCAGTGTGTTGTTATGTGTGCTGTGTGTGTGTGTTGTGTGTGTTGTGGTGGTTGGTGTGAGAGAGAGACTGTTGTCGAGTAGTCTCGCGTGTTTGCCCGTGAGCCTGTTGTGTGATAGTGTTGTTCTCTCTCGATCTCGTGTGCGTGTGTCCGTGTCGTGAAAACCTATAGACAGTTAGACAGATAAGTGAATGGTGTGTGCTGTGTGCAGAGAGACTGTGTCCGTCTCTCTCAGTATGTGTGCGAGTGTGTGTGGTATGTGAGACATGTTGTCTCGTCTTCGTCAGTGTGGTCAATGTGTTGTGATGAAGCATCTCTGTGTTGTCTCTTCTCGTCTTGTTATGTGTGTCGTGATGTTGTGCTGAGAGAGACTGTTTTAGTCTCTCTCTCGTGGCTGTGATGTGGTGTTAAGTGTGATGTGCAGCACGTTGTCTCTCTTAACTCTCGTGGTAACTATGAGAAAATCTATTGGTATGTTGTATGAGAGCGACTGTGTGCTCTCTCTCTCTTCCTCGTGTTGTTTGCTAGACTGAATTGATCTCTCTCTCTAGTGTGTGTGTGGAGGAACTGTTGTCTCTCTGCAATGTTGTGTGTGTGCTGTGTGTACACTGTTGTCTCTCCCTCGCTGTGTGTGTTTGCTGAGAACTGTTGTCTCTACTCTCGTGTGTGTGGTGTGTGGGGTGTGTTAGTGTGTGAGTTGTGAGAACTGTTGTCTTCGCTTTCTCTAACTCGGTGTGTGTGTGTGTGTGTTCGTATAAATGATACACGATTAGCGGACCTCACAAAGATTGCAACAGAAAGAATCATAATTTCCGTGTGAGTGCCGTTCAACGATCTCTCTCTCTTGTCGAGTCGGTGTGTGTGTTGATTCGTGTCGAGTGCACTGTGACATTGTTGTCTCTCTCGTGTGTACGGTTGGAGTGTCGCGTGTTTCTTCGGTGTATGAGTCTGGTGTGTCATGGTGCTGTTCTCCTCTTCTTTGTCATGTGCCTGTGTACGGTGTCCTCTTTCAAATTCTTGCTGTGTGTGTCTTGTGTGTCTCGTCCTTTGTGTGAGTCTGTTTCGTGGGAGTGCGTGTGCAACACCCACAAACAGACACACGATGAATTGTACACCAACACCATGATACCACACACAAGACATCACATGAATTGACACCCAGACACCGAGAATACACATCTACGAAGACACACATGAAGTTGACACCAGGACACCTAGAGGTACACACCACAATACCCACACATGAAAGTGTACACGCGAACACCAGATACACACCATAAAACCACACAGACCGCCGTCAAAGACACCGTAGAGGCGAAAGCACGCAATCAGAAGAACACTGGGAACACATACGTGACCATTTCACCAGACACACCCGGCAGACATGCACAGCAGTCACCAGACACACTCTAGACGAGGACACGCAGCCACCCCAGACACACCGAGACACACACACACAGGTCACCAGACACACCGGAGACACGCACGGCAGTCACCAGACACACCGGAGACACGCACAGGCTCATTTCACCAAGACACACCGGAGACAACCACACCGGGCGAAAGTCACCAGACACACGTGTGCGAAGACCACGCATGGCAGTCGGACCCAGACAAAACACTGGCAGACACACAACTAGCAGTCACGGCACACGGAGACGACACACGAGGTAGTCACGCAGAGGCACACTGGAGCACGCACCAGGCAGTCCACCAGGACAACACTGGAGACATGCACGCAGTCACCAGGCCACACTGGAAACATGCACCGCGCAGTCACCAGAACACACCAGAGAACAACACACACCAGTCACCAGACACACCGGGATGACACGCCACGAAAGCAGTCACCAAAACAAACAACGGAACACGCACACCAGTCACCAGACACACCAGAGACACGCACACCACATGTCACCTATACAACCTTCCCAAGCATACACACCACAGTCACCAGGAGACACACACACAGAGGACACACACCAAGTCATCCAGACATCACCAGAGACAACACACGCGAAGTCACCAGATGACACACCAGTAGGAACACGCACGGCAGTCTCACCAAGACACACAAGGACAGACACACACCAGTCACCCAGACAGACACCGGAGATCACGCACACGCAGGTCACCAGATCACGGACCGAGACGACGCACGTGCGGGCCAGAGTCACCAGACGAGCCACTGGAGACACACACACCAGGTCACCAGACACACCCAGTGCCACCAGACCCACACGCTGATAGGTACACACACGATCCAGTCACCAGACACACCGAGACTACGCACATTGGCGAGAGTCACCAAAGACGCGAAACACCGCCGAAGACACATGCACACACCCAGTCAACCAGAAACACACCCGATACACCACACACACAGTCACCAGAGACACACACAAAACCAGAGATACGCGCACGGACCAATCACCAGACACAGCACAAACACACACCACCCATCACCAACACAACCAGAACACGCACCCGAGCGTAGTCACCAGACACACCAGATGGATCTATCACCACACCAGTCACCAGACACAGCCAGAGAACTATCTGCACAGTGCAGTCCACCAGACACACACCGAGACGAACACGCACTGCAGTCAAACCAGACAAACACCAGAGGAGCACAAGCACGCAGTTAGCACCAGATGTCACCGAGCCAGAGACACGCTATCACGTAAGAGATCCAGGCAGTCACCTTCAGTGACACGTCTACGCAAGTCTAACCCAGACACACCAGAGACACACACAGGCCAGTCCCACCGACACACCAGAAGACACGCAACAGCAGAGTACACAGACACACTGGACCGACACACACGAACCCAGTCACCAGTACCACGCTGGAGACAACAACACCACCAGCTCACCAGACACAACCGGAGACACACACCACCAGTCACCAGACACACCGGAAGCGAGGACACACACAAGTGCACCAAGACACACGCCAAGAGCACGCACGGCAGTCATCAGACACGCACGGCAGTCACCAGACACACCAAGACCACCGCACAGGCAAGTCACCAGACACACCAGAGACACACACCAGTCACCAGACACGAGCGCAGAGGAGACACGCACCCCGCCATCAACCAGAGGATAAGTGCAGACATGACAATACACAGACACCACGCAGAAAAGAGACACGCACTTGCAGTCAGCGTGCAGACACACAGAGAGCACACACCACCCCAGTCACCAGCACACGACCAGTCACCTAGACACACCCCATGAGCCACCAAAACAAATCATGTCACCAGTCACCTACACCAGGGAGACACACACACCAGTCACCAGACACACCAGAACACACACACCCATGTCGACGCAGACAGCAACCCAGAGACGCACGCACGGGCAAGTTCACCAGACACACCCAGAGACCACACACGCGCAGGTCACCAGACACGCACAGCAGTCACCAACACACCATGAGACACACGAGCACCACGTCACCAGACACACCAGAGACACCGCACGGTGCAGTACACCAGACGACGGACCAGAGACCAGCGCACTTAAGCGAGTCCACCAGACGAGCGACCAGAATGACACGCACGCCAGTCACCAGAACACACAGAGGACCACGCACGACGTGGAGGTCAGTCCAGAACGAATTGAGCATCGCCAGTCACCCAGACACACCAGAGAACACGTCGAACTGCAAGTCACCAGACACTACTTATAACTACCATCACCCACACCAGAACTAACTATACACTATCACAGCCAGTCACGCATGACTATCTACCAGAAACACGATCATCACCAGTCGACCAGCACACACAGAGAGCACAACACACGCGAGAGACGACGCAGCGGAGGGAGGAGGAGGGCAGTCACCAGAACACGAGCTGACGACCTATCACCAGATAGCGAGCACTGATTCATCACTAGCTGCTGTGATTCGCCCCAAGACTGACAGGCGCACATAGGGAGACACACACATGAACCAGTCCCCCAGGACACACCCACAGCACACACACACAGTCACAGACACACGAGAAAGACCACAACACACCAGTCCACCACCAAGCGACAAGTACACCACACACCAGTCACCACACAGTCACCAGAGACACACAAACACGCAGTCACCAGACCACACACGACACCAGTCACCAGACACACCAGAGACACACACACCAGTCACCAGACACACCAGAGACACACGACCAACCAGCCACACCCAGGACACACCAGAGACACACAACACACACCCCATCAACCAGACACACCAGACACCAGCACACACCAGAGACACACACACCAGTCACCAGACACACCAGAGACACACACACCAGTCACCAGACACACCAGACACACCAGAGACACCACAACACCAGTCACCAGACACCAGTCACCAGACACACCAGAGACACACACCAGTCACCAGACACACAGAGACAACACCACCAGTCACCAGACACACCAGAGACACGCACACCAGTCACCAGACACACCAGGATAGAACATACACACCCTAGACACACCAGACAGACAGACCAGACAGCCAGTCACAGACCACACCAGAGCACGCAAAACACACCCAGTCACCAACACCATCACCAGACACACCAGAGACACACACCAGTCAGCCAGACACACCAGACCACACACCAGTCACCAGACACACCAGAGACACACACACCAGTCACCAGACACACCAGAGACACACACACCAGTCACCAGAGACACACAGAGAACCACATCATCAGACACACCAGAGACACACCACACAGTCACCAGACACACCAGAGACAACACACCAGTCACCAGACAGTCACCAGACCACACCAGACACACCAGAGACACACCACACACCAGTCACCAGACACACCAGAGACACACACACCAGTCACCAGACACCAGTCACCAGAACAACCAGAGAGCACAACACACAGTCGAGCCAAGACACACCAGACAGCAAAACACAGCCAATCACCCAGACACACCAGAAGCAACACACCAGGTTCACCAGAGGACAGCAAAACACACCAGTCGATAGACCACACCAGCAGAGACAAACACACCACCGCAGTCACCAACACCACCAGAGACGAGCAAAACACCACGTCACCTAGACACAACCAAGACCACACGACACCAAAGTCACCAGCACACCAGAGACACACGACAACAGTCACCAAGACACAAACCGGAGAGACACACACACCGAGCTCGACCAGTATCTACACCATGAGACACACACAGTTCACCAGACACACCCAGTAAGGCACACACACCACAGTCAACCAACACATCCAAAGACACACACCACCAAGTACGGAAGACCGAGAATGAGAGAAGAAGCACAGACCGAAGAGAGAGAGAGAGAGGAAGAGGAGAGGAAGAAATGGGAATTGGGTAGTGGAGAGAGATGATTGCAAGACAGGGTGGACTCAGCACAAACAGGGACGCCGGGGAGGGGAAGTTGCAGGGGTGAAGGTCAAAGGAAAGAGGAAAGGAAGAACACTTACGAGGAAAGTAAGAAAACGGGAGAGAAACGAGAGCAAAGCAGAGAAGAAAACAATGGGACGAAGAAGGAAGGGAGGAAAGCTACGAAGCAGACTCTAAGAAGGAAGATAAGATGATCATGTGTTCTGGACGGCTGGAAAACGGATAGGGGAAAGACATAGGGGAGAGGGGCAAAAAGGCTAAAACTAAAAGGCGACGGACGAGAGAAGATGTGAAGGAGAAAAAAGAGAGAAGAGAGACAAGATGGGAAAAATGGAGAAAGAGCATAGCGTCGGAGAGAGGAGAGAGATGACAGAGAGAGAGAGAGAGAGAGGCAGAGAGACGTGAGGAGAGCGCACCGAATGAGACGAGAGAGAGGAGGAGATAAGAAAGAGAGAGAAGAGAGAGAGAGAGAGAGACAGAGCAGAAAACGAGAAAAGAAAGAGAGACAAGCAGAGAAGCGAAAGAAGAGAGAGAGAGAGGCGATAGGGGTCGAGAGACGGGGGAGAGAGAGAGAAGAGGGAGGGAGGAAGAGAGAGAAGAGAGAGGAGAGGAAAGAGAGAGAAAGAGAGATAGAGAGAGAGAGATAGAGAAGGAGAGAGAGGGAGAGATTGAGAGAGAGAGAGAGAGAGATGAGAGAGAGAGAGAGGAGAGAGAGAGAGAGAGAGACCAAGATCAGAAAGAAAGAAGAGAAAAGAAGAAGAGAAAGAAGAAAGAGAGAAGACAGAGGAAGGGAGGAAAGAAGAAGGGAGCCCGAAAGAGAAGAGAGTAAGGGAAAAGAAGACAAAGAGAGGAGGGAAGAGAGAGAGGAGGACCTTAATGTCGGGAGTCGGGAGTCGGGTCTGCGGTCGGGGATATCTAGAGTGGAAACTATCCGACTTTGCCGAGGAGGATTACAAAACGAGAACAACAAGAAATAGTTATTACATTTCAGCTCTCTGTCTCTCCTCTTTCGGTCTTTATTCTGTTATCTCTTCTGCCTTTTCGCGTGTTATTCCTCCTTTCTCCACATCTGTGTGTTCTAAACAGCTGTTATTGTGTGTTCAAACTCCCACAAAATGTGCTGTATCCACTGAATTATACTTGAACGAATTTCCCTTTATCTGCTGTGCCGCCATCTTAAGCACTGTATATCGAATATTCATTTGTGTACAGTTACACTCTGCACTGAAGATTATTATGGAAAGTGTCATCTATGTTGCTCTTTGTTGCAAGTTAAAGGTATTTCTTGCATAGTCGAGGTCGTGGGATTCCCGCTCGCGTTTTGTTCATCCAACACATTTTGGTTTCGTTGTACTTTAAGAGAGATCGGCGTGGGTTTGATCTCGCAAACATGATGGTCGTTGCAACACTGATTTTCCTCTCTAAAGCTTCATGTCTGTCTTTCTCTTCTCTTTCTCTCTCGCCCTCTCTCTCTCTCTTCTCTCCCTCTCTCTCTTTCTTCTCTCTCCTCTCTCTCTCTCTCTCTCTCTCTCTCTCTCTCTCTCTCTCTTCTCTCTCTCTCTCTTCTCTCTCTCTCTCTCCTCTCTCTCTCTCTCTCTCTCTCTTCTCTCTCTCTCTCCCTCCCTCCCACCGAGAAGCAAAGCTAAAGTGAAAGAAGTGAAAATGCCTGTCAATCGAGGACCTCCTCCTCCTCCTTCCTCCTCCTTCCATCTCTTCTTCTTCTTCTTCTTTCTTCTCTTTTCTTTTCCCCTTCTTCCCTTTCCGCGGTTTAACTCGGGCGGGGGGGGGGGGGAAATCGAAAGATGATTTGCCTCCGGACGGCCAGACGCACACGGGAAAACTTGACGTGACTGGGGATTCTAACGCGAGACGACAAAGAGAGTGATGCAGTTTTTGGGAAAGGGGGGTGGGTGGGGAGGGGGGGGGGGGTGGGGGGGTGGGGGAGGGAATGAATCTGGGCGGGTGAAAATATGATTTGAGGGAGGGGGGAGGGTTTGGGGGAGGGGGAAGGGAGAAGGTTAGTGGGAAGGTTGAGGGATTGAAGGATGGGGAGAGAGGAGAAAGGATTGGAGAAGGAGGGATTGGGTGATGGGAGGGAAGGGAGAAAGGGATTGGGGCAAAGGAGGGAGGGAGAAAGGATTGGGGAAGGGGGATTAGGGGAAGGGAAGGAGGCAGAAAGTAGGGAGACGGAAAGGGGAAGTAAGGGAGAATTGAAGAAGGATGAGAAGGAGAGGGAAGGAGGAGGAATGGAGGAAGGAAGGGAGGGAGAGGGAAGAGAGGAGCAAGGGAGGGGGAAGATGGATTAAAGAAGAAAGGAAGGAATGAAAAAGGGAGGGAGGGTGTAAGGAAAGAAGGGAAGGGGAAAGAAAGATAGAAAGGGAAACTGAGGGTTATATAGAAGGGGAGGGAGGAAGAGGAATGAGATGGAAGAAAGAAGGAGGAGGAATAGAGAAGAGAGGGTGAAGGAAGGTAAAAGGGGGGCAATAGGAGGGAGAAGGGAAGGAGAATGGTTGGACAAAGGTGGGAGGGAGGCGGGGGTAGAGGAAGGGAGGGGCCATAAGAAAGAGAGGGGAGATAAGCAAGGGAGGGACAGAGCAAGAAAAGGGAGGGAGGGAGGGAGGACCGAGGAAGAAAGGGAGGGAGGGAGAGAGGAAAGGGAAGAAAGGGAGGGAGGCAGAGGGAAGGGGGAGGAGGAGATAGGGAGAGAGGAGAGACATCCAGAGCAGACACAGACAGAAAGACAATCACACAAACAAACTAAAGAGAAAAAATAACCCACACGCAAAAACGAAAAAACGAAAAAAAAAAAAAAACCATCGAAACAAAGAAAAAAACAAATACCCTCCCACTTTAACCCCATCCCCCTAACCCCCCCCCACCCCCACCCCCCAAAAAATTAAAAACACGTAATCACCGTCTCTGAATAAATCATCAACGCCATCTATCGGCCAATTCGCGCACTGTAATCCCGCCCTGGCCCCCGCTCATGCCGGCTGTTTGATGGAGAGTGGACGCATAGTCTGTGTCTGATTAATTATGCATTATATTAGTGGTGCTGATATGCCGTTGCGTCATAGCTACGGAGGGCTCTTTCAGCCATTTATGTATATTTTTTTCTGGACGAACTCGGGGAAAGGGTTGGTGCAGTCGGGTTGTTGTTCGGGTAAAGTGGTTGTGGTGTAGTATGGTGTAAAGTAGGGGGGTTGGTATGTGGTGTAAGTAGGTATGTGGTATAGTGGGGTAGGGGGGTTGGGATGCGGTGTAAGTAGGTATGTGGTATAGTGGTGTAAGTAGGGGGGTTGGTTGTAGTGTAAGTAGGGAGCAGGTATGTGGTGTAAGTAGGGAGGTAGGTCTGTGGTTTAAGTAGGTCTGAGGTGTAAGTAGGTTTGTGATGTAAGTAGGGGAGTAGGTCTGTGGTGTAAGTAGAGGAGTCAGTCTGTCGTGTAAGTAGGGGAATAAGTCTGTGGTTTAAGTAGGGGAGGGGATCTATGGTGTAAGTAGGAGTGTGGTGTAAGTAGGTCTGACGTGTAAGTAGGGTCTGGGGTATAAATAGGGAATAGGTCTGTGGTGTAAGTAGGTATGAGGTGTAAGTAGGTCTGTGGAGTTAATAGGAGAGTAGCTACGTCTGTGGTGTAAGTTTGGTCTGTAGAGTAAGTAGAGAGAAAGAGAAATAGAAAAATAGGCATCAAATGCAGAGAAAGAAGTGAAGGAATTAAAAAACAAAACAAATATAGGATATTGTCTTCCCCCTCCCCTCCCCCCTACCTTCTATCCACTACCCTTCTCCCCTCCTTTTCCTCTCTTCTCCCCTCTCTTCCTCTCTTTTCTCCCCTCTCTTCTCCCCCTCTTCCTCCCCCTCCCTTTCCCTTCTTCTTATTCTCCCTTACTTCCCTTTTCCCCTTCATTCCCCTCCCTTCCCCCTCTCCTTCCCTTTCCCTCCCTTCTTCTAATTCCCCTCTCCCTTTCCCTACCCCCCTTCCTTCCCCCTGCCTCCCCCTCCCCCTTCTTCTAAATCCCTCTCCCTTCCCTCTCCCCTACCTAACCCCTACCCACCCTCCCCTCCTTACCCCCCCAAACCCCCCCAGCATATCAAAAAAAAAAAAAAAGAAAAAAAAAAAAAAAAAAAAAAAGCAGCCAGTAATGAGACCAAAACCAACTATAAAGAGACCTTAAAGTGTCCCCCGGAGCAATATAGCGCGGCCTGCGATGCTCCATAAGCAATAAGAGTCGTCCAGGCCCCTTGCCGCGAGATGAGAAATGATGCCAAAGATTACGATCTCTACAGCCTCCCGATGCGGACGCGCGACGACCTCCCCCCGCGGTGGCTAATTGGTGACTGAGGGGACCCGCGCAGGGAGGGCCCGCTCCGAGTTTTGTTCGTGTTGTGTGGATTTTTTTTTTTTTTTTTTTTTTTTCATCTCAGGTTTTTTTCTTTGTGTTATGTGGAGTTCTTTTTTTGTTTTTCTTAGCCCAGTTTTGTTCTTTGTGTTATGTGGAGTTTTTTTTGTTCTTCTTAGCCTTGGAGTTCCTTTTTTGTTCTTCTTAGACCTTGGTCTTTGTTATGTGGAGTTCTTTTTTTGTTCTTCTTAGCCCAGGTTTTGTTCTTTGTGTTATGTGAGTTTTTTTTTGTTCTTCTTAGCCCAGGTTTTGTTCTTTGTGTTATGTGGAGTTCTTTTTTTTTGTTCTTAGCCCAGGTTTTGTTCTTTGTGTTAGAGTTCTTTTTTTGTTTCTTCTTAGCCCAGGTTTTGTTCTTTGTGTTATGTGAGTTTTTTTTGTTCTTCTTAGCCCAGGTTTTGTTCTTTGTGTTATGTGGTTCTTTTTTTGTTCTTCTTAGC